TGAGTCGAAACCACCTATTGTGGTCTATATGGCAGGGTTGCGTGTAAATAAGTACACTCAAGTGCTGCGATCACGTGAAGGCTGTGTGAATAATCGCGGGTCACCTACGAGTCAAAACCACCTATTGTGGTCTGTACGACAAGGCTAGTGCACCAAACTTGGATCCAAGGTGAGCGTGTGATGCGGGAGGTGAACATCACGTGAAGCACTGTGCCCTGATCAGGATAATGATCTCACAATGCATCAACGTATAACCATACACAATATAACTAATATCATCATGATGTACTCTCCTGATGCTTACCTAGGCCTCTGCAGCCTCATCCAATACTATGCATAACTATACTAATGCAATACTATGCCTCATCCAATACACATGACATGGCATTTAAAACATACAGTTCATTTAAAACAGTTTTTGGGAATCGTAAGCATATATACATATGTAGAAAACAAAAGCCCACTCACTGGTAAGTAGCAGGATCGTATCCCCCAAGTCTCACCTAACCACGCTTGTCCTCAAGATGCGTCTCACCTATATGCGAAATAACTAATTTAACGTTAATTCGATAGCACATAAACAAAACTTAGGTTTAATTCCTTATACGTTGCTCAAATGGGGTGTTAGAATATGCCAAAATGATCTACTCGACAACACGGACACCGCCATATTTTTAGAATAATTTTTGGACGTCACATGCGCCTTCCAAGGCACGACCACACACATCGACCACGCGCAGGCACTTGTCTGGCACACTGACGGAATCCCTAACGGCGTTTGGGAATATTTCGTTAAATAATAGAATATTTTGTTTAAAAACTAACGAAGTTACCTGACGCCGTCAGTATATTCCATCAAAGTTGACAAAATATTCCCCTCCTTCTCCGGTGGGCTTTGCAGGAACCGCCTCCGGCTTCCGTCTATTACGCCGGATTCTGGAAGAATTTAAACTTCAATATCTTCTTCATTTTTCAACTAAAATCCATGAATTTTATATGGATTTGAAGCTCTTGAAGAATAGAACACAACCATACCTATTTGAGGTCCTAACAATGATGAAAAGTGATTGGAATAAAGCTTGAAAAAAAAAAAAACCTGTCCAAACTGAAACTTCGTGAATCCTCTTATCTCAACATAACTCTACCCTAAAACTGCTCTAGGGTCTCTATGGAGTTGATTAATCTAGACCACTCACACCCCTCACAAGACTACTCTTACTTCTCATTCTCACTTGGTTGCCTACTACTTTTTACTTGCTTGGTTGGTTACATTGGTTGGTTGTTGGTTGATACAAATGGTGTGGATGCCGTCTCCTTTTATAGGCATGGATGGAACCTTGGAGAAGCATGGAAACATCATGCTAAAGATATCTAGATAATTCCACTAACTTCCTAAGCCTGAATTATCTACATTAATCTTGCATGTTGGTGGAAACCTCACCATTCTTCTAGACTCTTCCACCAACTTAAGAAACAACCTTTTAGTCCTTTCTACAAATGACTACTTTAACTTTGATAATCTAGCTAACCAACTTTTGTGAATGTTCTAGAATTTTTTATTCTAGATTTGTGAAGGTCTTTCAATGAGATGGGGTTGATTTCTTTAACAGTCCCTCTCAACACCATCTTATTTTTCTCTCTACATTAGGTTGACAACGCTTTATCTTGAACACCCATTTGCATGATATGGGTTTCAAATCTCTTACTTTGACACTAGATTCCAAGCCTGATTTAGCTCCACTACAGTGACATTTTCTCTTAACTTTGAGCCACTCTGGTTCAAATGCTTCTTCTTCTATGGCTATGTTGGCGCATTTAGGATTTAGCTTCCGGATTCTTGTTGACCTCCTTAGTTGTGATTGTGTAGTTGATACTTCCACTTCACCAGGTCTATCTTCTTCTGGTTGTTAATATATGCCAACTTGCCAAAGGTTTTGAGGCACTGCTTGCTCAACACCATCACCATCAAGTGAATCCTCAGACTCATTTGGTCTCGACTGGATTCGAACAGCTTGCTCCCCCATCTTTTCCTGCAACTTATCTTCAATCTCTTTCGAATCAGGCAACGCCTCTTTTTTTTAGGATCACCAAGAAGATGCTTTATCAAACACCACATCTCGCGATGTGTAACACCTTCCAGTCGTAGGATCACAACATTTCCACCCTTTTCTTTGGCTGTCGTATACCACAAAGATACATCTGATTGTCTTCTTGTCAAACTTGCTACGTAAATGAGTTGGAACAAATACGTAGCACACACAGCCAAATACTCAAAAGTAACTAACTGTAGGTTTCATTTCCCACAGTTTCTCAAAAGGTGAGACAAATTCTAACCTTGGTTGAGGAAGCCTGTTGATCACATGAGCTGCAGTTCTCATGGCTTCAGCCCAAAACCTTCCTGGTACATTCTTGGCATGGCGTATACTTCGATATATTTCTATAAGATGCCAGTTCTTTTTTTCTGCTACGCCATTCTGTTGTGGCATGTTGGCACATGTGAACTGGTGACGTATTCTACTTGTAGATACTGGGAAAACTCATTCGAGGTATATTCTCCTCCATTATCCATTCGTATGCAATGGATCTTCTTTCCCACTTCTCCTTCGACTGTCTCCTTAAACTCTTTAAATTTTGAAAATGTTTCAGATTTTTCTTTCATAAAAAAAATCCATACATATCTAGAGAAGTCATCAATGAACGTCACCATGTATCGCATCCCACTTATCGATGGTTGCTTAATGGGCCCGAACACATCGGAATGAACCAACTCTAACGGTTCTTTTGCTTTTGAACTTTGACTCTTCGTATGGTAGTTGATGTGCTTTACCATACTGGCAACCTGCACAAACTGTGTATGTTCTCATGTCAAGCTGAGGTAGCCCCTTAAGCATTGACTTCTTCATCATCACATTTAGCTTGTGATAGCTAACGTGACCATTCTCATGTACCATAAATCTGCTGTCTCGCTCTTCCTTGTTTTGTCTACGTATGCAGTTTCTGCTGACATTACATAGACTGACTGCAGTCGCCGTCCCTCCATTGTTGGCGTCCCTAAGATCTTGAGGTGTCGATACACCTTCATATCTCGTGGACCAAACAAGACATAATTTCCCAATGACGTCAGTTGAGGCACTGAAAGCAGATTTTTCTTCATACCTGGAACATGGTAGACATTTTGAAGCGGCACATGGTTAGTGTTGTAGCGGGGCACAATTACAGCCTTACCAATGTGAGCAATCAGTAGCCTCGAGTCGTTAGCCGTCACCACCAAGTGGCCTCCCTTGTACTCTGTCAAACTTTGTCACTTTTTCCCATCATCCATCATATGGTTTAAGCAACCCGAATCCACGATCCAATCATTCTCGTAGTTAATCGACTCTTAATTTGCTGCTGTGAAAGTTAACTTTTGCTTCTCCATAGCAACGAATGCTTCAGTGTCTCATTCTTCCTCTAGGGTTAGATATGCTATGATGTCCTAGTCATCTTCACGTTTGTTTTTTGAGTTGGCGACGTTACTCTTTGCGGGCTTTTTGAACCAGTAATTCTTCGCCATGTGGCCCTTTTTTCCGCAATTGTAACATTTTCCCTCAAACCTTTTATTATTCTAGGACTGACCACGATTGCCATGATACTTCGAAGCTCCCCCTGGCCGAGAACTCCCTCATCCTTGATGACCTTTTTCCTTGTCACCATTTCTTTTAGATCCACCATCAACATGCTACTTAAAGCTGCCTTTACTTTCGGTGTAGAGCGCTTCCTCCTCATCTCTTGACGAGACCTCTCCCATTTGTTTTGCCAATGCTTCTTGATCAACAAGCAAATTCTCAAACTCAACAAGTGATGGTTAGGTCAGCCATCCTTGTAAAGCGGCAACGAAGCCTCGATATTCGAGTCTCAATCCATGGATAATTATTCTTTTTATCTTGGATTCTACAATGGTTGCACTAGGATCTAATTCAGAAATTTCACGGCAAATAGAATTTACCTTGTGGAAATATTCGGCAATCGTTATGTCCCGTTAGGGCCACCGATAATAACTCATTCTCAAGAAGCTGTAGTTTTGTGTCGTTTCTCTTTGAAAAGAGTGTGGTAAAGGTGTCCCACGCTTCTTTTAGTGTCTTGGCTTTCCATATGTGCTCCAACATGTCATCTTCAACTGTGGTTTTTAAGGCAAACATTGCCTTATCTGCCTTGATCTTCCACTTCTGCAAAGTGCCGCTGGTGTCTTCTTCCGGCTGCTTAACTTCATTACCGCCGACAACATCCCAAAGATCTTGGCCTTGTAGGTAAGACTCCATGCACGTCGCCCATGTGTTGTAATTTTTGTTGTTCAACTTCTTGATTGCTCTAACAACTTGAAGATCTCCCATCGTGTTGGCAAAACTTCGATAAGCCGAACAAGATTAACGAATAATCTTGTGAAGTACTAAACTTCTCACGATTCATAAAAGCTTCACTAGAGACGGTCCCTGATCGTACCGCTCTAATACCAATTGTTGAGGAAAGATTAGAGTACACAACTTTAACATAAGTGTTGGAGAGATAACACAATTAAACAAATTACTTGTATTACACACACAAAATATTACAACACTCAAAACTCTCAAAGACACACTTTAGAAGCAATGACACTACTCACTTTCTAGAGACAAACTCTAGACCACTCACTCTCCTCACAAAACTACTCTTACTTCTCACTAGATCTCACTTGGTTGCCTACTACTTCTTACTTGCTTGGTTGGTTACATTGGTTGGTTGTTGGTTGATACAAATGGTGTGGATGCCTTCTCCTTTTATAGGCATGGATGGAACCTTGGAGAAGCATGGAAACATCATGCTAGAGATATCTAGATAATTCCACTAACTTCCTAAGCCTGAATTATCTACACTAATCTTGCATGTTGGTGAAAACCTCACCATTCTTCTAGACTCTTTCACCAACTTAAGAAACAACCTTCTAGTCCTTTCTACAAAGGACTACTTTAACTTGGATAATCTAGCTAACCAACTTTAGTGAATGTTTTAGAATTCTTTATTCTAGATTTGTGAAGGCCTTTCAATGAGATGGGGTTGATTTCTTTAACAACATCTTCGCCAAAGCTTTGATCGTGGGGCAGAAGCCAGTGCACGGCACCATTGACGAAAACATTCCTAGGACATTTGTGGTTGTTATTACAGAAAGGATGGCAACCAGGAAAAGAAACAGCAGGTGGAGCTGGAGGAGGAGGACTAAGAATCTTCCAGGAGCCTCTGGCTAAAGAGTAAACCTCAACCCCATACGGGGTGTTCCCGGCAGGATAAAAAGAATGATCATTACTAAAAATTATTCTCAAAACTTTGTAGTCCTTGGTGCGGGAATCGTAGCCGAACGAAGTAGAAATGTAATATGGCAAGTTAACGTTTTCTTCTTCTTCTTCGTTGGTCCAAGGGATGGTAATGGTAGAAGGGGGCAAAGTCACGAATTTTCTAACCGAAGGGTTCCACATTATTGCGGGGACTTCGGGGGTGAAGTCCTCATCATTAGCAAGGCATATGAGGCCGTTGCAAGTCCCGGCCAGATCGTAATCGAAAGAAGTAAGTTCGCCGTGAGTCGAACTGAAATTAGTTATAGCCTTGCTGTTAGTACTATCAAATCTAAGGAAAGATGCAGAAACAGAATCAGGCTTATCCCAATACAGCAAGTATCCCTTAAAATGGAAGGGTCCTTTTAGTAGATGGAGACTACCGACATCACCATCATCATCATCAAGAAGTTGGTCATCATCATTATCAGCAACTTGGTTTTGGTCGAGGAAGATGCGGCGTCGGAGATGGGCGTCAATGAAGGACGGGCTTTCTATCAGATATTTCCAAGACTTACACACGTCGGTGCACTTGATTAGAGATTTTACCGACGGCAACCTCACCAGGATTTCGCCTATGATTTCTTCGTGTAGTAATTCCCCATCAAATTTGGAGCAGTCGGTGGTTTTTACGTCCGGTAGATACTGAAAGGCGGTGTCGGTGGTGGCAGTCCGGTGGTTCTCCTCTACGGACGAAGACGACAACTTCCTCTTCTTCAAGGGAGGTGTTGGTGGTGAGCTGCTGGAGGCCATGTTTGTTTGGTGGTTTTGATTGAATTGAAAGTTGTGGAATGGGATCCCTATTTATAGTGCCAATAATCTAGAGTGGATTTGGTTACCGTAACGTGAAAGGAAACATGTAGTCCTGGAGTTGCCTGGAGTTTATTCCTACGTTGACCGGGAAGCCAAATCTACTTAGAAAACCAAATCCGAATTAGAAAACCAAATCTACGTTCACAATTTCAAGCTTTGAATGTAACAAGCAAAAAAACCCGCACGATGTTGCAGGTTTACACACAATTACATTGATATTTACAATTCCATTACTACATATATAAAACCGTATTTACAATCCTAGTTATACATATATACTAATCAGCATTTCTGAACTTCCTTGATCAACACGTGATAATTGTTGTCTCTCATATGTATGTTTCTCTGTTAAAATTTCAAAAGACAGTTGTTGTTCTCTTGGTGCCCTCAAACTTTGTTTTGCAAATGTAGGGCATTCAGGCAACACATACCCATCACCAGCATAAAAATATATTTTCATTAAACATTTCTATGCCATTTGAAATGCCAAAAGTATGAGCTTCTTGTATTATTAGATTTCTTTTGCTATTCCTAGTTATTTTCGCCATAATGTGCAAAAAATTTAAAACCTCAAGCAACAAATTGATAGTTGGGAAGAAAAAAAATGTAACATGCTTAAATAAAATTATAATTTTCAATCACACATAAAGTGTAAATAAATAAAGAAAATGAACACTAATAGGCCCTAATATTGCTGCACCAATTCACTTGTACAAACGAACATCTGTTGCGATCGAGAGAGAACCAAAAAAATCTACTGAGTTCTATAATGATGAAAAATGAAAGAAATTTAAGAAAGTTTGTAATGTTGTAATGACCAAGAATCTGCTCAAAAGCTTAAGATACAATCATGGGTGGTGTTGTTAACTTTGCACATCTTGTAATACAATTCGGTATTCTTAGTATAAATCATTGGTGGTGTTGTTAGGTTTGTACATCTTGTAATACATTTTGACTATATGATTATTCATGAAATATTTTACTATAGTAAATGTGCAATTTTTGTTGTTTCTTAATATATTTTTAATTAATTTTTTTATTTTATTTTAGAAAACATTTTATAACAGGCATTGGCCGTGGTCAATTAGTAATCCACAACATCCAGTAGCGCGTGGTGTTTAACTCTAATCTGTCACGAGCATTATCTGTGATTATTATGTAATTAACAACGCGCTTTGCTTGTGGTAAAAGTTAGGACTTTTTATCACATCTAGATACTTAATAGGCACATTGTTCGTGGTGGATTGCAATTTACCACGGGCATTCATCGTGACAGATGTGGGTTTGTCTTCTAGTGGATTTGATTTTGACCTAAAACTAATAAAACATAAAACACTATTATTGCCTTAATTAAGAAACTTTATTTGGAATCTCTCAAAGTAAATTTAAGTGAGACTTTCCGACATCGTAAAAGAGAATATGTACACAAGAAACCTTCTTTCCCTACAGGGAAGATTATTACAGTACGTATCACTGTATTTGTATAATATCATTGCCGTCCCCGACTCTCCGATGCCAATATATCACCTTCTGTTCGAAATTTCATATATACATTGAGGGTGATAGTAGGGTGGGTTAATCTGGCCCCTTTTTCTTCTTTTGGGTCTTGCATGCATTACCAAACGCCTGCCACTGAAGTGGACTATTTGCTATAAGTATGAGTGCAGTGCACAGATCATTAAGGCAAAGTTAATCGTCAGTTAAGGTTGGATGTAGATATTACTTGTTCAAACAAAATTGTGGTCCTAGAAAAATGCAGATCCGAAAGTTAAATATCGCAACTAAGTAATGCGTAATTTCGTTCGATTTCTTATAACCATGCATATATTTAATAGCGGAGTCAGAATCTTATGACAATGAGGATGTGACAAAGAAGTCCTCAAATATTGATTGTTCACATATATATAATTTAGCTTATACCCATTTTTGACAAAGATATAATTTTTTTATTAGTCAAAATGAAATCTGAGATTGGTATAACTCATCAGTTTGATTCCTGACAATGAAAATTGATAGAAGTACTTCCTGAGTTTATCCATCGTAAATCGTTTTGGTCATTTTGTGAAAAATCTATCAATATTCTCATTAAATTATCATGTATGAATACATGACCACTTTTTAAGGGTATTTTTGTCAAACTAACCCCTCCACTTAACGAGAATATTGAAAGATTTTTCACAAAATGATCAAAATAATTTACGGTGGACAAATTCAAGAACCACTTCCATCGATTTTCATTGTCAGGAACCAAGTAAGGAGTTATGCCAATATTAGGAATCATTTTGACTAAAAAGCTTGATTTTTATCGCAAATTTAATTTTTAATATATCTTAGATCTTCCAATATTTTTCTTTCCAATATTTAATGTTAAAAGAAGTCTTAGATTCGAATTCCAACCTTATTGATCGAAGACGAAGTTCTTGGTGCTCTAATTAATACACATTCATAATGGTCTTAGTGTATATGATGTGCAAAAATAGTATCAAATGCACATGACTTGTATTATCTGTGTATTAATATATTTCTTGGAATCAGATGATAAATTTTAATGGTAACAAAGGCATCTTGTGAGGGTCAGAGACACCCATTGCCCCCTACCTCCTTAGTATCATTTATAGATAAAATTTTTAATCTACCAAGAGCACAACGGGTTACAGTAAATGTCATAGTATAATTGGATAAAATATTTTTTCTAAATTATAACACTTGATATACCAAACCATGTTCGCGACACTTTGAAAAATATCTCATATATGTATGTGTATCTCCATAAAGCACAACAAAGTGAAAAAGGAGGTGCACTCAAGAGTGCACATACATATTGGTCTTTCCAACTTACCTTACATGTGTATATGATAAGGCTCAGCGTTACTATAACGCCTCCCTCCATCTGGCCTTCAATAAGGATATGAATTTATAATCCACACCATGCAAAATTCGGTAGTCAATTGATACTTTAGTCAAATTCAAAACATGAAAAATTGACGTCACCTCAGCTTTAAAAGATAAAGGACTTTGCAAATCGCCACAAAAGAAGGTACCTAGTGTGTTGCCCCTGGAGAATTTTTTTTTAATGTGGCAAGTACACGACCTAATATACAAAGTGTTATAACAAAATTGGTTGGAATTTTTTTCAAATTTTCAACTAATTGTATTATTGTACTTGATGTGTTAGACTGTGTTCCCGACACATTGAAAAATCTTTCATTCTTTTGAGTTTATATTCCTTCTTGCATCCATTAAAGTAATTTGAAATATTGTATAAAATAAGGCATGCACAATAAGAAGGTATTAATGCATCCACCATTTTTTGAGAGTGGGAGTTTGTAGACTTGTAGATATCCATATATCCAGAGCCTTTAAGGAAAGAGGTTCTATTTTATTTTTTTTTAATGGAGATTAGTTGGGGGTCCAAACGACATTGAACTTTAACAATCTAAATTGTTTATTTTCAAGTTACATTTTATAAATTATTCTAGCAAAATATTAGTCAAATCGGAAATATTTGAGGCATCTAAGTGAGTTCAAAGAAATTGACGAACACTATGATCTAAGAAACATTGAAATTTTATCGTCACAATTGAATGAGCAAATGGTTTTTGATTGAACTGAATTTTTGTACGAATTTTATATGAATCAAGATTTACAACATAGACTGTTCGGATTGTTAAAGTTCGATATGAAGTGAGTCCCATAACTAATTCCTTTTTTTTTTCTTTTCAAAAATGAGAGTCACTCCCCATAAAGGGCCTATCTATATACATATCTTTGTATCTATATACATAAATACATATGTATCTATACTCATTTCCCAAAGACTCTGCAGAATTTTACTGAAAGGAAGAGCTTCCTTAGGCAGACATGGCGAGCACAACTAGTGTGATTGATCATGAATTTCAGAATGAATTATGTGAAACTGGTTTCAATCCTCTCCAAAATGTGGAAGAAGGAGATGTAGACGATGACGGAAAATCGAAAAGAACTGGTATGTTCTTTTTAGTTTCTCTCTGCCAAGTTTTTAACCTCTTTTTCTCTATATACAGGATTACATTCATCTTGTTTTTCAATATATCTCCTCTAATAAAATTGATCTTTTTCTCCTTTGATAAATTTCTCTACCTTCCTTTTCTTTTCCTTCCAATATTTGGGCTGAGGAAGACTGGGTGGAAACTGGCAATTAAATAAGAACTACCTAGAAGCAACAGTTCAGAAAGAAAAAAAAAGTTTTGATGTCTAGATTATTGCATCGTTTTGCTGATAAAAAATAGCATATTTTCCTGGTTTCTTTAGGTGAAAATTGCATTCATTTTAAATATTACACGAAGTATTAATTTAGAATCATGTTATTCACACATCTTTTTTTACCTTTTATACATTCTTCTTAATTTGTGACCGTCAGATGGAATGAATTGAAGAAGATGAAAAGACAAAAATTAACAGTATGTGTGAAAGGTAAAAATGAGTGCCAGATATACGTAATTGTGTATGCAAAAAAATATTCCAAGTATGTCTTGAATAATTTTCTTAGAAAAAGGTGGTAAAAAAACCTTCAATAGAATCTTTTTATTTGGATCAACTGAAATACAGTCATTTATGCATGTAACAAACTTTCTTTGGAAACTACTATTAATAATTTGGAAATTAATTAATGTAGTCAGATTCTGGTTTTGTCTGGGCTTTTTGTTTGAAGTTAACAATTTGAAAATATATCTGCATATATATGCCTAAAAAAAATTTGAAAATCAAAATTAGACGACTCATTTTTAGAATATGATTGAAATCTTCTCTAAATCTCCTTTGTGCAGACACTCGAATCAACTAATACCGGTTGTTCATCAACTAATACCGGCTGTTTATACAAGATCGTGCGATTTAAATTAGATTTAAATTTTTTAACATTTTTTTCACATGCAACGAGGCACTCGACCTCTTTCTTCGTC